ATCCTTGAAAACAATGAAATCTTAAACTTTTAAAAACATTTTAGAACTTTACCTTTGGAAAATATGTAATATTAGGATGCTTTTATGATATGAGGCTTATGCTTCCATATTCAGTGTTGCCTAGGAAAGTGCTCCACCTCAAAGTTTTCATAGAACCATATTCCTCCAGTAGTTAAATTATTGTATGAGTCAAATAGCATTAAGTCTCAAACTACTTATGTTCTCTCTTAAATCTTCTCAGTCTGAATTCTTTATGTAGGTTCAATATTTTTCTTGTTTTGTCTAATTTGTCTCAAACTGTGATCCTTTTAATCAACTCCTCTAAAGTGTTTTTATTTTTTTGTCCGTACAAATTATGCCATGTCCCTCTGTAATATTTCACATATACTTGATGGATATACATGTCCAAACACATTTCATGCTAAACCAACAAAATGTAAAAAACTCACATACTTCTTCTTCCAACACTTTTTAAAAGTTAGTATCCAATTTCTTGAAACCCCTTCTCATATCCACTTGTTCAGACAGTATAATGTCATACACATTTATGTAAAACTTTATTTTTTAAATTAAGCATTAAAAACATTAAACATTATTTATTTATGTTTTATTTTATCTTTTCCCACTTACTGATGATTCCCTTAGGCAAATACCAGATTTGAATTATTTTTGGTAATCTCTCTTTTCTGATGTTTATTTAATTATGAGAGAGAGGAGGGAGAGGGAGAGGGAGAGAGAGAGAGAACTAGCATTGGAGGAACATAGAGAAACACAGAATCTGAAGCAGGCTCCAGGCTCTGAGCGGTTAGCACATAACCTGACACAAGGCTCGAATCTACAAGCAGTGAGACCATGACCTGGGCCGAAGACAGACACTCAACCGACTGAGCTTCCTAGGCGTGCTATGGAACACTATTCGAATATTTAAATAGCCAATTTTTTTTTTCACTAAACATTTTTACTTGTTGATTTTATCACATATAATAAGGTTCATCCATCAGTTAATCATCATCCAGAAGAGAAAAAAAAAGCAAAACTATTGGTCAGATTAGTTTGTTTACAAAAATAAAAAAAAGTTACATCTCTCAATGAATTAAAAATAATATGTTAACTATATAACTTTTGACTAACCATTTCCCATAATTCAAAAATTTTAAGGTGTTTCATTTACATAGCCTTATAACATTTTTCTTAATGATGCTAAATAACCACATTTTCATTTTGAAGGGCAGAATACTGAGAAAAAACATGGAAATGCTAAGTGAAAGTAAGAAACTTTCCTAAAGCCATTAAGAAGATATATTCACGATGAATTACTAAACTTTAATTTTAAACACTGCTGAATCTTAAATTGCTACTTTTATGATACGCTCCTTGCAGGTTTCTATTTCCAGTGACAGTTATACTTCAGTAATCATATAACTATTTTCTACTGCTATAAAGCTCTTGCTTAGCCATGATCACATACTGTTTCAATTCTCTAGCACAAAATCAGATATAATGTTTCTGTTCAGTCATTTACAATACTGCTTTTAAGGAACATAAGAATCTGGAAGTAGACAGGATTAAAAAAGGTGAACTGAAGACATATTTATTTTTATTAAAAATAATTTGAAGCAGTTTTAAATCTAAGTTCTCTATTATTACATATTTTAAAGTTAACTGGCAACATTTTATACTTTATAGTTTAAATGAGGCAACTACTGAATTATTAAAAGTGGTACCTATAGAACATATTCTGTTTATTTGCCATATCTTAATAGCCTCTTAAGTAGCAATATAAAACACTAGCCATCTTGTGTTTGTGCATTACAGGTTTGTACAAAACTCAATGTTAAATCAAGCAGAAATTAAAATGCATGCATACATCAGTTTTAATTTTTGAAAACTGACTCGAATAAGTGAAGTGAAACAATCCTTAGAAAAAACAATACATGAAATAGTATAATTCAATAAACTGATAGATTAGTAGATGTGAAGATATATATAAATAAAATGGTTTAATCACTGCCCCTATGACAATCCAGTTTGGTATGTCAGATGCAACATATAATATAGAATAAAAGAAAAATGCCAGAAGAGTTGATGCAAACCCTAGATTATTCTGGGGGCAATGCCTAGACAGAGACACCTCTTCGGTCCCAGGACTTGTACTATAAAAATATATAAGGGGACAAATCATGCAGTGTGCTACCTGTCCAGTCTAGCTGATGTTTATTTCTTTGTATGCACACCTTTGATAATCTTGATCTCTATACCTAGGTTAGTTTAGTTTTTTTCCCCTACCTGTTGCCTCTTACTTTTCCCTTTCTTGCTTTCTGTCTTAGTTGCTCTTTCATCATTATTTTAACTCCCACCTCTTAACCCTGCAAAGCTAATTAACAAGCCCACTATTTGGTTTTCCATATTATTTCCCTAAAATCTCCCATCCCTGTTGCTTTGATAAGAAACAAATCTTAAGCCTGGTGTGAGTGGCAGGTAGTAAAATTCTAGAAATATTAGGAAAGGTTTTGTTTTGCATTGTTGCATATCTTAACCTAGGTCTACATGATGGCATACATCTTTACATTTTTTTTAACTTTTTAAAAATGTTTTATTTATTTTTTGAGACAGAGATAGAGACAGCATGAGCAGGGGAGGGTCAAGAAAGGGAGATGCAGTCTCAGAAGACAAGCTCTAGGCTCTGAGCTAGCTGTCAGCACAGAGCCCGATGCAAGGCTTGAACCCACGAACCATGAGATCATGACCTGAGCTGAAGTCAGATGCTTAGCCAACTGAGCCACCCAGGCGCCCCTGTACATCTTTACATTTTAAAATATCTACTCAGTTTCTATTTCTCTTTTCTCATTTCTTCTACTCTTAAATTTTAAATCATTATTTGTTAGATCAGAGTCCCTCTGAATTTCTTCAACTGCGAGCTTGCTAATAATTATTGATGCCTCTGAGCAACACTGAATACCTCCATGAATTTATGTATAGTTACATTCTGTTGTCAAACTCTGTATTAAAAGTAAGTGAATTTAGTTTTGTGAACATTATTTGAAAGATTTCAAACTTAAACTTAAGCAATCAGCTCACCTCATATAAACATACTGTAAAATTCATGGAAACTCAATGTATGTAAAACATTCTGATCTTGATTTGAGGAGATCATGAAAATTTTCTTTGAGGAAGAAAAATTAAAGTGAGTCCTACAGGATGGGTAATAATTTGTCAACAGTTACCATAAATTATTTTAAGACCACTCCAGAAAGCTAAAATAATGTGTAAATTGACTTTGGTGCCAAACTTGTAGTCATATGGAAAACAGCTGGTTCAGTTTAATGAAAGTCTATGGCCAATGATGGGGGTATTGAAACGTTAAACTAGTAAAGCAGATTGGGGCAAGAACTTCCAGGGAGTTCACCTGTTTTTCCATTTATTAGGAGGCACTCAATAAAGAAAACTTAATAGAAAAAATGCAGGTTCATGATAATGGATATAACAATTTTCTATTAGTAAAATAGAGATAATGGATTTGGGTAGTTGGAAAAAAGTTAAGAAAAGTCAGAAATTTCATTCTTGTATGGGACATGTCATGTCATTGAACATCTGAGGGTTCCATTTCTTCAATCCTGAAATTGACATGGTAACAATAATACCAATTCCGATTACTTTATTGATATGTTATGAAGATTAAAATATCACTTATGTAAGCATATTTTTACATAAAGCTACTAAAAACAATAAAACATCATGTGGAGAGAAGGAGTTTCAGTGTTCTAGAACTGGGATGTGGACCACAGAGAATACTAATAATTTTTCTACTACATCGATATCCAAATGTTCCCCACAAGTGAATAAACGCCCAACACTATGATATAAAAATAAATTTAAAACATGAACAGGTGATTCACCGCCCCCCCAAAAATACATTAGATATTTAACATCATCTACCTCTGAAGAATAAACATTAAAGCAGAGGTTTCTTTTTTTACCTACTAAATAGGCAAACTCTGTAAGGTTGAAACAGCACTAAAAAAAGTGTAGAAAAGCAAAGACTTAAGACTGTTTGTTAATGGTGTTAAATGATATGAACCCTCTGTGTGGCAATCCAAAATTTACATGCATATACCTTCCGAAGCAGCAATTCACCATTTAAGTAACTGCACAGGAAATGTGGACGGTCCCCTGGAATTTGGGCTAGCTATAGAAATGGGAGAATTTCCTTCTCTCTTTCTTTTAAGCTTCTAATATGTACATGTGTCCATCTTATAACAAAATAGTATTTTCATTAGAAAAAATAATAGGTGCTACAAATATTTAAAATTTAATGTAAAATTTTTCTTTGTTTCATTTTACCCTTTTTAATAGAATATATGCAAGTCATTCTACTTGTCTATTTGATCTAATTTGCTATGTGGTTATTTTTCTCTTTGAGTCCAGTCTCATTAAATTGAGATTTATAAACAATCATATCTCCTCTTACTTTTACTACTGGTCATTTTGAATCTCACTGTTGGTTTTGATGAATATCGCCTAAGAGGGAAATAATTCTAGCACTAAACTTGATTCACCCACTCTCACTCCCCATTTCATGGGAAAAATACCAGAGTTTCTGACAAGAAGCAATCATAAGTGATAATATCAGTTGGTTTAATTATCATGACTGTTTCATGCTGTGATGAAAATTAGAGATATCAATTTTAGCAACATGCTGAGTCTATCTTTAGTGATTGTTTACATCTTAAGATGAATCCAGATATCAAAATACCCATGGATCAAAGGAAACATTATTTATCAAATGCATGTGATGTCTTACTTAAAAATCATTTATGACTTGGCCAATATTCTAATCACAATCCTTTATTAGCTTCACTATAGACTTTCTAAAATCTATAAAATCTGAATTAAATAAATGCCCAACAATTTGCTTTCTTCTAAGTTCTTGGTTTTTTTTTTTCTTTTAAGAAGTGTTTGATAGAATCTATTTTATATTTTTATTTTCTTTCAATTTTCAGACATATCTGCATACATTTTCACCAATGACCAAGACAGGGAAGCCACCCTCATTAAATGGAGAAGTTGAAGACACTGAGGACATATGTAACTTTTACTGTGTTTTCTTAATGTGGGCTTTGAATATCAATAATGTGTTTCATGACAATGCTCTTTCTGATGCAATCCAGTTATCTATTTAAGTTGAAGGCAATCTGTTTGCTTAGAAATAATAAGATATATTAAAATGACATTAATCTGCACTAGGGGCTTATAGTAGATGTTGTCAGTGCTGAGTACATATCCCCTTGGTCATTGTTTCTGGGTACATCAGCTGGAATTCCAACTGGTGGCAGCTGCAATCCTTAGCCTGAAAGCTTTTCTTTTGGCAGCTATACCCCAATTTGTCCCTACAAATGGCAAGCCAGAATTGCTGTGGAATTAATACCACACTACCCAACTAATGACTGACAAGAAGTGGTAAATAAATACTCTGGCTTCTTTGGGTGATTTATCTGAAAAGTGTGTTTCATACTGATGTTCCAAATTCCTAGTGAGATTAACCTTTGTTTCCCCCAGTGGTAACTTGCTTAGTAATCCAATTTTGTTGAATATCCTCCCTCCTCTCCTAATCACAAATTTTCCCTTGTATCAGGGTTTCCAGAGATCATTTCTGAATTAAATTACACACCTGATATGGTTTTTTAAAAAAGTGAATGTATAGAGGTGTTTTTTTTTTTTTTTGTAATGCTTATTTTTGAGAGAGAGAAAGAGAGAGAGACAGAGAGCAGGGGAAGGGCAGAGAGAGGAAGACACAGAATCCAAAGCAGGCTCCAGGCTCTAAGCTGTCATCACAGAATGCCACGTGGGGCTTGAACTCACAGACTAAGATCATGACCTGAGCCAAAGTTGGACACTTAATCTACTGAACCACACAGGTGCCCCCAGAATGCATCAAATTTTAAACTAATTTTGAGTCAGATGTCTTAAAATTAATATGATTCAAGGACATTAAGGATTTTAACAGTATTGAAATATTAGTAAAGCACATCAGAAAGAAAAATGTAAGAAATAGTGGAGATAAACAAAGATGACTCAATTAATTAATTCAGTCTGTAACAAATTCATAACTTATTGAGTATCAATCTGAGTACCAAAGAGAAGCAGACCATGACCTCAAAAGGAAGAACCCATTGCTTCATACTTCATTTTACATGATTATTACTGTCCTATAATTCTTTATTTTTTACTTTGTGAAGCTGTGTGGAGGAAGAGGAAGAAAGTTTTGTGGAGTATTTGGAGAATAGCTTTACCAACAGAGCAAGTACAGTCATATGAACATTCTGACTTAAACATGCCCTAGGCAGGCCATTTTGTTGAGAGAGACTTCATTTAAACAAATATTTGCAAATATACCATTTTTCACATTAGACAGTTTGCAATGCTAAAGCTAATATTTCCTTGCTAAGATACTTTTATATACCTACCTACCTACCTATCTAATCTGTCATCTATCTCCTTTATTTTTAATTTTATTTATTTATTATTCTCATTAGTTAACATACAGTATAGTCTTGGCTTTAGAAGTAGAACCCAATGATTCATCTCCTACATATGAAACCCAGTACTCATCCCCAAAAGTGTACTTCTTTATGCCTGTCACCCATTTAACCTCTCCCCCACCCTCCCATCAACCTGTGTTTAAGGGATTCTATTATGGCTCACCTCCCTCTCTGTTTTTATCTTATTTTTCCTTCCCTTCCATTATGTACATCTGTTAAGTTTCTCAAATTCCACATGGGAGGGAAATCATATATTTGTCTTTCTTTGACTTATTTCTCTTATATATATATATACACACATACCACATCTTAATCCATTCATCAACTGATGGACATTTGGGCTCTTTCCATAATTTAACTACTGTTGATAGCACTGCTATACACATTGGGGGACATGTGCCCCTTTGAAAAATCATTTTTGTATCCTTTGGATAAATTCCTAGAACAGTTGCTGAGTCATCAGGTAATTTTATTTTTTAATTTTTTGTGGAACCTCCACACTGTTTTCCTGAGTGGCTGCACCAGTTTACATTCCCACCAATAATGCAAGAGGGTTCTCCTTTCTCCACATATTTGTCAACATCTGTTTTTTTCCCAAGTTGTTAATTTTCACCATTTTGACCAGTGTGAGGTGGTATCTCATTGTGTTTTTGATTTGTATGTCACTGATGAACGATGTTGAGCATCTTTTCATGCGTTGCCCATCTGGATTTTTTTTCCCAGAAAACTATCTATTCATGTCATCTGCCCATTTCTTCACTGGATTATTTGTTTTTTGGGGGTGTTGGGTGGTTTGGTAAGTTCTTTATAGATTTTGAATACTAACTCTTTATCTGATATGTCATTTGCAAATATCTTCTCCTGTTACATCTCAGTTTTGTTGATTGTTTTCTTTGCTGTGCAGAAGCTTTTTATCTTGATGAGGTCACAATAGTTCATTTTCACTTTTATTTCCCTTACCTTTGCAGACATGTCAAGTAAAAAGTTGTTGCAACCAAGGTCAAAATGGTTGCTGCTTGCAGCTGGAGGAATTTGAGGTTTTCCTGTCTCACATTTAGGTCTTTCATCCATTTGTAATTTATTTTTGTGTATGATGTAAGAAAGTGGTCCAGGTTCATTCTGCATGTTGCTGTCCATTTCTCCCAACACCATTTGCTAAAGAGACTGTCTTTTTTTTTTTTTCCCATTGGATACTCTTTCCTGCTTTGTCAGAGATTAGTTAGTGATATATATATATATATATATATATATATATATATATATATATATATAGTGTGTGTGTGTGTAAGATATTTAGACTATTAGTTTTGGGATATTTTTATGATACACCACTCTTTCCTGCTACCTCTGACATTTCTGTTCTATACAATTTGCTCATTGAAGTATATGTTACTGGATTTTAAATATCACAGGGAGAAAAATATTAAACTAGTACTCTACCCTTACCTCCAAGTGGAAACAGGTTTCCACTTGTTTAAACTAAATGAACTTTCTTCATTTAGCTTTTCAAGGAAATAAGGGTTATCAATCAGTCATGACATTTTAGTAGAAAGACAACACAGTGTAGTATCAAGAATCGGATATCCTGTGATGGTATTTCAGTTACAGAACTGAGTTTTGGAAACTTTGTATTACAAGAAGAAAAGATATTGAAGATTCTTCTAAAAGAAACTATATTTCCCCCAAAAGATTGCAAATAAAAGGACTTGTAAAACCCAAATTTCTGGAAGAACAGATTACTCTGCACTTTTCTAAACAGAGCTCCACCTGTATAGAGCAGGGCTGCTCACCCCACTTCCTATTGAGACAGAAAGCAAAGTTACATGTAATAGTGTTCCCAGTACTCTAGAGTACAGGATATTTTTATCAGGAGATACAGGAGGCAATGTAGACTCCCTATTTTTCAAGAGTCAAGAACCTTGTTTAAGGCTTATCTGGTAGCCTTTGTGATGGGCATATAATATGAATAGTAATCTATTTCCAAGGAAAATTACAGAACAATAACAAAAATGTCTGGAAAAATCCTTTGTAAACTAAAATTCCAAGAATCACAGCATGATTGGCACAGAGTTACATACACACTAGAGAGCCGAAGGATGGGTATCTTTACCATCTGTAAATTGCAACAAAAGAGGCCAACTAAGGCAAATCCTGTGTGTTGAAGATTTCAAGTTCCACAGGCCTCTAAATATATGACTGTGGTACCTTTGATTGGAGAGGAGACCACTGTTCTGGTTCTTCAACTATTAATCTATAAGAGTTGGATTATGGATTATACACAATGACCAAATATTAAAATGATTGAATATAATTTATTTCTATGTATATTAATCAGAAAACATTCAAAAAGAAAGAGGAAAGGAAATCTTATTCTGTAGAAAGGAAGAAAAACTAAGAGAAAAAGGACAGCAAAACAATCATTTAAAAAATAATTGTTTTGCAGCCGATACCGCCACTCCACAATTTATCAATGCACTCAGGCTATTAAAAAGAGAAAATATAAAGTCAGTTAATAGCACTACTCATTTCTGTAAGAATATGAGAAACACCTGGGCAAATATGATAATTTTCTCTAGCTCATGAGAAAAGCATCATTTATCCATACAAGACAACAGATGATACTTTTCTATTTCTCTATACACAGGAAAAGTACTTAACAGTAATTATAAGGATGTCTCACTATTATTTCTCAATATTTGATAATTATATTCACTTTCAAGGATTGAATGAGACTTGTATCCTCATTTAGCAAAATTAGATAACACATTAGTTAGAGTTTTAAGTAAAAAAAGTCTTAAAATAATTTTACTGAAGTAATGGAGGTTGAGTTCTATATATTAAAGATTTAGAGAATTAAATCTATCCCATTGTCTGATCATACAATAAATTCCAAGTTTTTAATTCTTTTATTCATGACACATGGCTACTTCATTTGCTTCTCCCCTTCTCCTGGTATGCCTTTACTTGAACTACCAGTAGGATTATTTTTCTCTTTTCAGTTTTTTGGCCGAATCTTACCTTTCATACAAGTCCTTAATATTACAATGGAAACAGAATCTCATTTTTTAACCCACTGCCTTACTATTTTTTTATTGTTTCTTTGTTTTGTTTTTGTTGTTGTTGTTGTTTTGTATGAACTGTCTTCTGCTGTTTGTTAAAATTTTGTTAAGTACTTACTACCCAGTCTAGACCAGACACAGGCGAACTATAGTTGTGGACCAAATTTAGCACACCATCTGTGTCTGTAAATAAGGTTTCATTGGAAACAGGCTTAGTCATTCTTTAAAGTAGCTTTTTTTTCTTTTCCTATTTCTTTGTCATATTTTTTGACTACTGTCATGCTACAACAACAGGGTCAAATGGTCCACCAAATCTGAAACATTTACTATCTGGAACCTAGCAGAAGTTTGCTGACCCATTGTCTATACCATGACACATGAATGGCAGAGACTTACTGCTTGTAGTCATTGATGTATTTCCAGGAAATATAATAGGGCTGAT